ATGATCGATATCCTCGCAACTTGCTGTCTTTATGGTCAGAATTAATTGCTGCTCCCTTATCTATATCCATTCCCATTTCCCACCAAGTCATATGGAGATTAAATGTGTACATCTCTCTTAACAGATATTCAAACCGTGATTCATTATTGACATTATTGACAAAGACTATTGAACCTAGCAGTACCAATGCTCTTCTTTGACGGAGAGGTCACACTTTCAAACTTGCATCGTGTGTGTTTGTACGTTAGAATATTTATGTGCGCTCTTCATTTAGTTGCTACCAAAAAAAAACCGTACAAGCATTATTCTTTTCAAATACTATTATATGAAATTTGAGAAAGAAGTTGTGTTATTTATGTTTGGCCAAGAAAAATTATATTATTTATGACCTTTCAATAATCCAAATATTAAAAATTAAGAAAATGACTATTATATAGTAAATTTAATTTTGATAACAATTTCTTTAATCAATGTCAATGGTTTTCTTAACAATAAAATTATATAATAAATATTTTTATTCGATTTTACTTTTCTTTTTAAAGCTACTTTAAGATTCTCGGCCCTGTGGCTCCCAAGTCCGAACGTTTTCTTCCCTTTTCATGGATGTCCTGCAACGCCGTCGTATGGTCTTCCAAACACAACAAACGGTCGCAGAGGCCCGGCGTCCCCGCGCGCATGTCGTTTGCAGCCACCATTTTAGGAGGCTCTTCTTTTTCCTGCGTTGAAAGCCAACAAGTTGAAGAATTTTTTTAAAAAAGAAATATGATAAAAAAATAAAAATTTGTAATTAATATGTTGCGTAAGAAATTAAGAAAAAAATTTTGATTATAAAATAGCTGGGGGTAGTCACAAACCAAAAAGACAATTTTGAATTTTGATACCATTCATAAGGTATTTGACTTCTTTAGGTTTAGTATACATAATGAATTTTACACAAATAAATAAGCTATGCATCAAACTCAAATGAGTCATGATATTTACAAAGTCTCATATATTATTTATGGATTATGAAGAATGTAAGTCATTATATTAATCTCTGGTAAAAGAAAGTCATTATATTAATCTCAATAATCAAATCCTTAGATTTAAAACGTCTTTACAAAATTATTGTCAATACTTATCATTGATAAAAGAGTTTGGTAAAAACATCCACTTGGGAATCTAACTTTATACAAGTTTTTAGGTTTGTCTCTGAGTTCTATAAGATGTCTTTTCGGTCAGATAATCATTATTATTTTAAAAAATTAAACTTAATATATTAATATTTAAAAATATTTTTTCAACGTATAAAATTTTAGTTAAATGTTCTAAGACAGTGCAGTAAATAAAACAAAATTTCACATGTCATTTTGGCTAAGTGTTTTGTCAATTTAGAAAGGGAGGAAAGCTATTTATGCAAATTTAGTTGTTCCGCCGTCCTTTAAGAAGATTCTCCTCTTATTTAATGATTAATGACAATAGGCGTATATTATAAATATAAATATTAGTTTGGAAAAATTCTAAAAAAAAATGATTGTTGAATTTCAAAATTTCAAATCAAGAATTTCTGTAAAAATGTGTTGTCATTTACTTTTTGAATGTAGTTATTTTCTTTATAAGTATAGTAACTAATATTGATTTGAAATTTTGAAATTCAACCATTATTTTTTTGAGATTTTTCCTGTTAGTTTTGATAAATCATGGATCCTACTTATCTTATGCATTTTTTATGCTAAATAAAGATGACGTAACCGTGTAAAAATTTCTTCTGATTTTGAGTTGGCCCCAGCTGGCTCAGCGATGTTCCCAAGAAAATAAAAACTTAAGAATTGACGTGTTTTTTAAGATAATATGACATTATAGATAGGCGGATAGATACTTGCACAAATTTAAATTTTATAGATATTTAAATAATAACAAATCCATGGGAAAATATTGTGAGTAAAATTTTATATTAATAGCTTTAATGCTTTAAGATTAAATTTAAGAGTCCAATTCTTTAGAGTTTAGACGAAGTTTTTTTTAAAAAAAAAAATTACTTACAAAACAAAATGCTTCTCAATTTTATTATTCAGTATCTTTTTTAATTCAGTCCCTCAAAGATACATATTTCTAAACTCAATCAAAAACTCATTAATCTTTGTATTATCAACAATAACTTTTACAAATTAGTGAATAATAATTGTATAGTATGTGATTACTAATCATAACAAGTTTATTTCCTAGAAATTAAATGAAGAAATAACGACCTATGAATGTTCAAATTAAATTGAAAACATAATTTTACAATGGATCGAATTAAAAATATATTTCATTTGAGAGTTTTTTTAACCAGAATTAAATTGAGGAGGAAACTTTGTGATAAATTAAATGAAACACCTATGAAAGACCAAACTAAAGTGCTACTCCCTTCGATTTTATATATAAGCTTCAAATAACCGAGTCATATTCAACGAATTAATAATTAAAATTAGTTAAAAATAATAAATAAGTTAGAAATATGTTTTTATTTTTTAAATTTGCCCTTACTTATTAGAAGAGTAGATAAGAGGCAATAAATAAAAAAATATATGGAGTTAACATTAATAAGAGAGAAGGAGTACTAAATACAATCAACTAAAAGTAAAATAAAAAAAAGTAATAAATACTCATACAAACTCAAAAATAAAACTTATATTTTGGATAATATTTCTTTTCAAAAGTGAAACTTATATATAGGATCAGAGAGAGTATTAATTATTGGAATGCTACAATTTCTTACAGAGTTCATTCTAAATTAATTTTCATTTGAATCCAAAAAAAAAAAGATTTTCTCTTTCCACTAAATTTTGGGGCCCCTGATTCTCTTCTTTGTGCCCGAAGTGACTTAAGAGTGAAAGATGCCATAAATTACTAATTAAACTCGATCAATCATTGAAGCCAATAAATCTTGAATACGGTATATACCAATAGTCAAAGTCATATTGAGTTGCATAAAAATCAGTGTGAATCTTTTATATTTTTTTAAATGAATTAATTGAAAGTCAGGAAATTAAGATAGCCCCAAATTTGTGGTCATCAATCATCATTCAGCAACCATAGCCTATCAAAATTATTAAAATAAAATTGCTGGGAGTTCTTCGCTGACCATGGAGGCATAGACCATAGCGCGCATATATATATGTGTGTGTGTGTGTGAAATAAAAGAACCAAAAATAGATAATGGTACCATTAAAAATGAAAAGCAGAATACGGAAAAGGCATGAAAAATGGCACATGCCCCAAAAAGAAGAAGAAGATGAATTATTATTGGCTAGCCGTGAATAAAGGTATCATATACTTGTATTATCGTAATAGTGGAATCTTATTAGGATCTGTGCCTGGGTTAGACTTATTTGCCATTATTTTCAAATACAGATTTTTTAGCATCTTTTTGTCCATCCCCCGTCCCTTTCCAACGAAGTGTTCTCGTACTATTAATAAATTACTACTTTATTAATAAAGTTACTTAATCTCAATCATAAAAGGTTATTTACGGCAAAAAAATATATTATCCCATTATATGCGTCTGCGTGGCTTTATTCATTCCCGAAAGATACATTTTTTCATATAAAGCAGTCTTTAATCAAAGTTGAAAATACGTCTTTAGACTTTTGTCTTCTGGTGAACCAATCATGCACGATGTGATGGTAATCTGCGTGAAACATATATATTATACCACTCATCAGCATAATTTAAGTATTCATTGGTTTAATTTATTTATAAAATAATTTACATATGATTTAAATAAATTTACACGCTATAATAATATGTAATATTGTTAGAAGCAAAATTAAGCATTTTTTTTTTTGTTGGCTTGCACAATTGAGGCTTGTCTTGTCCTTTTCCCACAAATTATGATTATGAATTTTAAATAATTAAAATAGCTTGTTATTTGGGTTAATGATGAGTACACTAGCGCGTGGCTATATACGCATAAAGACTGCATTTTTGTCGTTATATATTTGACATTTCTGTAAAATTTTTATTCCATTTCTTTGATCTGAATTACCTGTATGGCTGTATCTTCCTACATACCACAATGACCACACGAGAGTTCAAGTAATTTGTACTCCGTGTATTTTTAGTTTATATATTTAATGACTGCTCACTGAAAATAAAACAGAGTTATTGAAAAAATTAGTAGTGAGTATTATGTTAAGTGCATATTAAAAGAAAAGGAGAAAATAGAGTACCTTTGGTCCTAAATATAAAATTAGTTAGGTTTTATATTTAAACCAGACAGTAATAAACATAAAAATACTACATAGGAATAATAGGTAATCATATTATATTAGTCCTTCGATCCTAAATATAAGATTCTTATACTAGTGTGTATAAGAATTTTACATTGAAGATTGGAGGAGTATTTTGGATTTCATCAACATCAAATATTATAGGTACAGGAATATATTTTGTATTTTATTAAATTACTAAATATCCTAATTTACTGAAATATCCAATTATTTAAATTAAATCTCACTGAAAGTATCATTTATAAGTCGCAAGATGTGATAATCATCATTACTTAAAAAATCAAACTCATTATACCATCATATATGAATGTCAGTCCTTATAATTTTACTACTGACATCTTTTTTAATCACAAGACTTACAAATTATGGGCATTAGATGACTAAAAATCATTTTATAAAATTAAAAAATTAAATCGGAATTTTATTTGAAGTTGAAAGACTGCAAATATACATAATTTAATTTTGAAGTTAAAGGTTATTTTATTTTTGAAGTATTTACTAAAGAGTTATGGGTAGATAATAAATTTTTTTTGGCTCAATGTTAGGCTAAAAGTTTTTTAGGACCAAAACTGACTCTTTTAAGCTTCGATTTTTTCATTAACATGATACTATTAGTGACAGAACGTAATTTGGTGGATCACTAATCATAGATTCCTCCGTTCAGTAGCTGACTCTCCAACCCACTCAAACAAACTCTTTTTTCAGCTTCAATCATAAATACCTGCCTCATCTCTTCTTCATACTGCTTCCATTCTCTCTCTTCCCCCCGCCCCCCTCCCTCTGTGTAACTGTCATGGCGGCCACCACGACGACCACCGCCAAGGCCTTTGACGTGGAGAAACCAACCTCCGTGGACGCCCTCGCCGATGAAGATGAGGTCTCTCCCATAGAGGAGGTCCGATTGACGGTCACCAACACTGACGACCCGAATCTGCCCGTATGGACCTTCCGGATGTGGTTCCTCGGCCTCCTCTCATGCTCTCTCCTCTCCTTCCTCAATCAATTCTTCGCCTACCGGACCGAACCGCTCGTCATCACGCAGATCACCGTGCAGGTCGCCACACTTCCGATCGGGCACTTCATGGCCGCCGTGCTTCCCGCCACCAAGTTCCGGATCCCCGGATTCGGTTCCAGAGCGTTCTCGTTGAACCCGGGGCCGTTTAACATGAAGGAGCACGTGCTCATCACCATATTCGCGAATGCGGGTAGCGCCTTCGGATCCGGGTCCCCTTACGCCGTTGGGATCGTCACCATTATCAAAGCCTTTTATGGCAGAAGCATCACCTTCCCGGCCGCCTGGCTTCTAATCATCACCACTCAGGTAACTAACTGTATATAATTATTATTTTTATTTTTATTTAAAAATCTTTTACAAAAGTTGCAAATGAATGATTTCTAGTGGTTTTTAATTCTTTTAAATTTATTTTAAAAATCAGTGCTGATTTCAAAGGAAAAATACTCCTGTCTTTCATACATGTATATGTAAGAAGCAATCTTAACCCTGCGTGCATTTAGCACACTTAACAATTTTCTGACAATAAATTGATTATTTAACACACTTTAATTAAGTTTTAAATTTGTTTTTTTTAACCACGCAAATCATGAAGACTTTTTCAGTTTTTTGATGAATTTTGGTGTCTAATAGATTAAAGTTCGTTTCTTTCTGCCAAGATTTTAGGCATGTTGGGGAGTGTTTGGAGAAATAATAGAAAATTATTTAGAACGTCTAGGGAATATTCACTTGTGATGAAAGCACGTTTTTGGCTGGCCAATTGAAGATCCAGAGTTCTATTATCCAGAAAGAAAGAAACCAAACTTTTTTTTGGCAATCCTCATTTTAGAAGCTTTTATAGGAGGATTAATATAATTTTTTGTTCTTTAATTTTGCTCTGATTTTGGTTATAATCCTTCAAATTTCAGACTATAGGTTTTGGTTCCTTAATTTTTTTTTCATTTAAAATATTGGTACTTATAATTCAATAAAAATTCAAATCATTTTATCCTTTGAGAGACCAAAATTAAAATGAGAACAAATTTAATGGGCTAAAAATTATATTAACCCTTTCTAAAATATCATATATTTAGATATTTTCGATGCTTAAAATCCTTATTCTTATTTCTTTTGGAATTTTTTGAGTACTACGACCGGCTGGCTTATATGAGTGACGGCATACTACCTATTATCACTTCTATTGGTACTATTTTTTTTTCAAAAAATAAATATATGAAATGCAGTTATAAATAAACAAAAATAATCAAGATGCTTCCGACTTTGACAAAAAAAGGTAAAAATGCATGCAGGTATTGGGATACGGATGGGCTGGGCTGATAAGGAAATACGTGGTCGAGCCGGCCCATATGTGGTGGCCCGGCACCCTCGTTCAGGTTTCACTGTTTAGGTATGATTATTTTATTTTGAATTTTTCCCTCTTCTAACTTTAAAGTCTTTTCACATTTGGTGGGAAAAATGTTTTCTTATATTTGGATCTCGTGATGTGTTTGTATGTGCTGTTAGATATTGGTGAAGATATTTCGTAAATTTTTTAATAAAAAAATTTATTTTTTAAAAATATCAGCTCGTTCTCATGTAGTCTTCATTTTAGCAAGTTTCGTGTAAAATAGATAAATAAATATAGAAGCAAGAGAAAGTTTAAGGAAAAGTGACGAATAAAGTAGGAGTGATAGGGAGGAATCTAGGAATGTATAAAATAATTTTAGAATCTATATAGTGGAGGGATCTAAAAGATGGGGATGTAATTGGTATGTGATTAATGAAATTAAAAGCTAAATGAGTAGAAGTAATAAAATGTGTTATAGGTCAACGATGAATAAAACTTTTTTTTAAAAAAATACAATTAAAAAAATAAAATAAATATAGAATGTAGGAAGGAAGGCGACGTTCACGTGTGTTATGGGTCAACGTTCAATGACTGTATGCGGTATCCCATTACGCACTAGGGCTCCGAGATGAGCAAAGGCAAAACAATTTTTCTTCCCTTGCCTAAAAATTAAATTAATCCAAATATAAACTACTCTTCTGATTGTCAACGTATGACCTAATTAACAAATTTAAATATATTAAGTATGTTTGTTAAATTACTCTAAGTGTTTCTCTTAATTCTTTACCTCTCTTCTACTTGACATGAATGGGGAATATCAATAGGGTTAATTTTAAAAAAAAAGGATAAACATAAAAAATAAGTCTTATATATAGGACCAATATTAATTCTTAAATAAAATTATATATTAAAGACCAGAGAAGTAATATTCATTGCTTTTTTTTTAATAGCGTATAGCAATATTCATTCATAATTTTTTTTTCGTGCAGTTCAACAATTCAACCTCATTCTCTATAAATACTTAACGTGAACACTTAAAATATGAAAATAATATTAAATTAATTTTTTTTGTGGAATCCGCCTTTTAAGTGCCGATATATATATATATATATATATATATTATAATATCGATATGAAGGTGGTGGAATTGATAATTATGATGGGAATTAATGGCCGTCCTTTGGAGGTTTGGAAGTCTTTCACATGTGGGCCATGGACTTGATTAGCCGTCATGACTTATTTTGCAGTGCCTCCATAGTTAGCGGGTCACGCTATTGATTAACACACGCAAGGGAGATAATTATTAGTTTTGTGAAGACTAAGAAAATAGAGAGAACAGTCCCTCATACCCTAATTGTTAGTCTAGCTCCCCCGGTTTTGGTCTCATCTATCTATACAAATCGAAAACAAAATGAAGAATGCTGAATAAAATCCTATTGTTACATCCAAAAATTTCAACTTTATTGGAAACCTCGAGCTGTGTATTTTACGTTCATTTTACAAGTGTTTGCTCTTAAACAGCAACCCAAACATACACCTACTTATTTGCCTGATCCCAGAATTTTATGATTTCTAGTAATTAATGTTGCATGATCTCTCCATTGTCTGATCATTTCACATCAACCTATATCTTAATATGCACCTTTATCCATTCAAGTTTCACATCTCTGTATAACATAATGCAGAGCTTTGCATGAGAAAGATGATAAACGACCAACAAGGGCGAAATTTTTCTTCATTGCACTAGCTTGCAGTTTTTTGTGGTACCTGGTTCCAGGATACTTGTTCTCAACTCTCACAAGCATATCATGGATCTGCTGGATCTTCTCAAAATCAGTCACAGCTCAGCAGTTAGGGTCTGGTATGAAAGGTCTAGGACTTGGAGCCATAACTCTGGACTGGTCTGCTGTGGCATCCTTCTTGTTCAGCCCCCTCATCTCACCCTTCTTCGCCATTGTCAATGTCTTCGTAGGCTATGCAGTGATAGTTTATATTGTGATTCCTATAGCTTACTGGGGCCTAAATGTGTATAATGCCAATAGGTTTCCCATTTTCTCCTCACACCTGTTCACGTCTCAAGGTCAGCTATACAACGTATCAGCCATCGTCAATAACCAGTTTGAGATAAACGTGGATGAGTACAATGCTCAAGGTAGAATTCATCTGAGTGTGTTCTTTGCTCTCACCTATGGTTTCGGATTTGCCACCATAGCAGCCACCCTCACACATGTCGCATGTTTCTATGGAAGGTAAAGTCTCTCCTTTCTCATACTGAATATTTAGCAGTTATGTTATCTGCATGGTGCATGCCTTAGATATGCGTAAAAATATTCAACATCCCGTCTAATAATAAACAATTTAACATCCAACATGTTCATTGTGAATGATATCTGAAGAAAAACTGCTTGAAATCTGGCTTGTTTAATCATATGCTTGACGTCAGCACTTGTTATGCTTTAGTGCAAAAGACAACATTAAGAACTTGTGCAACTGAAAATGCAGGGAGATTATGGAGCGTTACCGTGCTTCTTCTCAGGGAAAACAAGATATCCACACGAGATTGATGAAGCGATACAAGGACATACCTTCATGGTGGTTTCATTTGTTGCTAGGTGTGACGTTTGCAGTTTCTCTGGTTCTATGCATCTTTCTAAATGATCAGGTTCAAATGCCTTGGTGGGGACTCATTTTTGCTTCAGCCATCGCTTTTATTTTTACCCTCCCTATTAGCATCATAACCGCCACCACAAACCAGGTTAGAAACTTCAAACTTCTGCCCAAAAGAAAAAAATTGTTCTGTCCTTTAATCATTACAGCAAGTATTTAAGGAGACCGCAAATATCGCCTTTTAACTGATGCTTATATGCCTCATAAACAGACACCAGGGTTGAACATTATCACCGAGTATGTCTTTGGTCTCATTTACCCAGGAAGACCAATAGCCAATGTCTGCTTCAAAACCTATGGCTACATAAGCATGGCTCAGGCTGTCTCCTTCCTTAGTGATTTCAAGCTTGGACACTACATGAAGATCCCACCAAGATCTATGTTCTTGGTTCAGGTATGTTCATTTATTATTAAGAGATGTTCATTGCTACTTGAGATTAGCTCTATTGTTAAATCATAAATTTTAGATACAAAATCATGCTAATACAATGATTTGAAAAGAAAGCTCACGATGTCAGGAACACAGGTCCTGCTTAAAGTATATTAATATTGCATTTTTCTACAGTTTCTGATACACGCCCCTTTTTTCACACCTGAATAGTTCATTGGTACCATGCTGGCTGGATCTATCAACGCTGGTGTTGCATGGTGGTTGCTCACCTCCATCAAGAACATATGCCACGATGAAGTTCTCCCTCCAGACAGTCCATGGACATGTCCCGGTGATCGTGTGTTCTTCGATGCATCAGTCATCTGGGGTCTGGTGGGACCAAAGAAAATCTTTGGTTCTGAAGGAAACTACAGTGCAATGAACTGGTTCTTTCTTGGAGGAGCACTAGGTCCCATACTTGTTTGGCTACTGCACAGGGCATTTCCTAAACAGTCATGGATTCCACTAATCAACCTTCCTGTTCTATTAGGAGCAACAGGAGCAATGCCACCTGCAACTCCATTGAATTACAATGCATGGATCATCGTTGGAACAATCTTCAACTTCTTCATCTTCCGTTACAGGAAACAATGGTGGCAGAGATACAACTATGTTCTTTCTGCAGCACTTGATGCTGGGGTTGCTTTCATGGCTGTGTTGATATATTTCTCAGTAGGCCTTGAGAACAAGACTATCACCTGGTGGGGAACTGGTGGTGAACACTGTCCTCTTGCAACATGTCCTACTGCTAAAGGCATAGTGGTAGATGGCTGCCCAGTGCACTAATGAACTTTTATGCTTGTGAAAAAAAAAAATATAGGTATTACCACTCTTGTTGCAACTTTTAAGGAAATGTATTCAACGTTTTAGAATACAATGTTAAAAGAAGCATAGTTTATGGTTCATTTGGTTTCTTTCTTGTGTAATTTTTCCTGACCTGTCCAGTTATATCGATGCACATATAGCCATATGAGAGGTAGAGAACAGTGGAAACTTGTTTGTTTTTCATCTAAGCAGGATCAGTAACAAGGATAGAAGAAACTGCTTGAGGAACATTGTTATATACAGAAAAAAAAAAGACGTGTTTTGTTTTTTGGATGTCAATGATTTGTGATCATTCATGGACAATTTGGTCTAATTAGCAGATTTAACTACATTTTTTTTGTCCAGATGAATCAAAACTGTCATTCACTGAGTCAGTTTTTTTTCTTGTTTTATTGCATCAATGGGACAAAATCTCAAGAAGTACAAATTGGGATTTGGATCCTCTCAATAACTCATGTACAGGACCCACTATGAGTCTATCTCAAATTCTATGCACCATATGTCTATTTCATTCTGAAACTGACATGATTTTTGAGTCCTCCATACTGATAAACTTTAAGTCCGAGGGAAATTAAATTTACTGCAGGAAGAAGATGAGTGCTTGAGAAAATTAAGGGTAATGGTACAGCTTAAATTAAATATATGCTCAGTTTTCTTCTAAGTACCAAAATTAACCAGATGTCAAACAAAGAGTAGTTGATTATTTGTTCCTTAGTCTAATTTTTTTTTATGGCAAAAAAAAAAAAAACCTTGCCGTCTTTCTTCTGCCGTTATTTGCATTGCTTGCTGCATGTGAAAATGAGTAACAGCTTTTTTTTTTTAACGGCAATGTGGGCCTCGTAGAATGAGTTTATTGGGCCTCTTTGTGTTCCTGGTCTGAATCGTGCGTCTCATACAACTTTTATAGGAGTGTTGGGTGAAAACTAAACAATAATTTTAAAAATAATTTTACAGCATATAAAGTAAATACGTGAGAGGAGTTTTGCCTCAACTTGAGTGAAAACACTTTTAAACACACTTTTTGAAGAAACCAAATACCTCTTAAATGGCGTGTTTCCCTTTCTTCTTCACATGGATAGCCAAAAAAAAAAAAAAATCTTATTTCTCAATTTTCATTATATATTTCAGTTGGAGCTAGGCAGTCTTCGAGTTTTCAGTCGACATATTTTGTGCATAGTTTCCATGTGAGATTATTGAAATTTTATACTACTAATTGTTCATTTTGGATTTTTCCCGAGGAATTCACTTATGTTCGAGTATTAAGTGTAAGTAAATTTGACTTAGTGTGGAAAAATTTTTATAACAAAAAAAAAAATTAGTTGAAGAAAACATACGCAAGTGGGAGGATTCATTAGCTTATCGTCCTAGAAGTCTTTTAAGTTAAAATATACTGACGCTACGCCTATTTATGTACGTCATTTGTATAAGAACAAACCCTTTCTATCCCATGTTAAATGTTTTCTTCAAGGAAATACTTGTAATTAGTTCTTAATTTTTTTCTTGCCATAAGTTATCACTCCCTTAAATAATAAATACTATTTCGGGTTTTTAATATAAGAGCTAATTGACTAATTTGAGTAGATTAAAGAAACTAGTTAAGTTAGTTATTTGTAATAAATAGATGTTGTCTTTTCTAAAATACCCTTACTAATCAAGTGTAATGGTTTGAACTACTATTATTACAAGGACTACATTAAAAAATAAATAAATATAGGAGACAAAGTAAATTGGTGTCTTATAATTACGACTGAAATAAAAGTCAAACAAGTTCTTATATTAAGGATCAGAGGTAGTATTACCTAATTTTTTGCCAACAATAAATTTTACCTAATCGAGTGATTTGTTTTTGCCTTCGATGTATAATCCCAATTTCTTTTCTGGGAAAATCACAAATAAGGACTTCTAATACGTGAAATTATGACTTGGGATCATTAATTTAGAAAGTAGTAAATAAAAACCCAGTCCCAAATTGTAAATATGAAATCTTGGTGAAATATTTGAAATGCTCCTCAGCCACATAACAAGTTGACTATGAAAAATAACAAGTTTACTTTAGCAAACGATAACTTCAGTAGACCAAATTACAATTTAACTGAGGATATGTCAAATGACAAGTTGACTATAAGAAATGACAAGTTCACTCTAGCAAATGACAATTTTAGTAGATCAAATTACAATTTGACTGAGGAGCATTTCAGACATTTTACCAAAATTTCATATTTACAATAAGAGACCAAGTCTTTATTTGTTATTTTTCAAATTGAAAGTCTTAAATCGTAATTTTACATATTAAAAGGTTTTTATTTACTATTTTCTTTTTCTTTTGGTCTACCCCATTTAATATTTTTTGAATAATCCTAATTGATTTGATAGGTTTCTCATTCTCTCCGTCACTCTTTGATTTTCAAGGAAAAGTGACGTTTATTTTTTGATTGGCACAAAAGGTCCCATAAAAAAGGGAAAAGTACAATAATATCCCACACAATGAGAAATTGAGGATACATGCCGGAATCTCTCATCAAATAGACAATTAACTCAAAAACTTAGGCACGTGAGCATAAATAAATTCAGGATGATTAATTACTGAATTATCTGATGGATTTTTTTTGTTGGGGGGGTCTCTTTATGGCTGTTTGTTCACGTCGCCGCCGCCAGAGCTTCCAAATATTTTACTCCTCTGATCCTTATTATAAGACTTAATTTGACTTTTTATTTGGTCCTAGTTATAAGACCCAATCCATTTTGTTTCTTATATTTATGCATTTTTTTCCAAGATAATCCTTCTAATAATGATAGTTTTAGCCAATATACTTAATTAGTAAGGATATTTTAAAAATGACAACACTTATTTATTATAAATAACTAACTTAACTTACTTCCTTAATCTCCTCAAATAAGTCAATTGGGTCTTATAATTAGGACCGGAGGAGTATAATAAAAGCCTGTTTAGAATAGTTTTAAAAATTATTTCTAACCATATTTTATATAAATCAAAACAAAACTCTTCTCACGTATTTACTTTATATTATATAAATCACAATTAAAAAATTATTTATAAGCTATTTTAGACAGCTATAAAGTTGTTAATCTTTTATTAGCAAGTGCTATTTTAGAGGTAACAATTTTAGTATAGAAGATTGACGGTTTTGATGTAGAAAATTTACAATTATTACATTTGATTCTTAATATAAGACATAATTAATTAATTTGAAAAAATTAAAAAAATTAGTTAGGTTAGTTATTTATAATAAATATATGTTTTCTTTCCTGAAATACTCTTGTTTACTATGTATATTGGCTAAAACTACTATTTGATGAAACATTTAATATGTGCCACTACGACACGGATTATTTTGAAAAAAATAAATAAATATAAAAGATGAAGTGGATTGGGGTATTATCTCCTATCCTTAATATAAGAGCTAGTTTGAATTTTATTTTGATCTTAAATATAAGATCTCAATTCACTTTCTTTTTCATATTTATTTACTTTTTTAAGGTAATCTTTGTAGTAATGGTAGTTGTAACTAATAACTTTAATTAGTAAAGATATTTTAGGAAAGACAACACTTAATTATTACAAATAACTAACTTAATTAATTTTCTCAATCTACTTAAATTAATCAATTAGCTCGTATATTAAAGATCATAGGTAATATTTAAGACCAAATTGAAAATTAAACTAACTCTTATATAAAACATAACAGGTAGTAATATTTTGCAATTGACAACATTAAGTTCTTTGTAGTTTAGGGATGTGGTGGTCATATCACATTTTGGAGACAACATTAAGGGGGTGTTTGGATATAACCAAACCATAGTTTGGAGAATAGCTTCTGGAGAGAATAGATTCTGAAAGAATAGATTTTCTGAAAAAGTGATTTTGATAAAATGAGAGTGTTTGGATAGTTGTTGTCAGAAGTGCTTTTTTATATGTAAAAATTACTAAAAAGGACATAAGTTTAAATGATAATTACATATAAGATATATTTCATAATATATGTTTATTTGAAGTAATAAATTTATTAATAATATATATTTTGGCAGCATTATAAATAAGACATAAATAATATAAATAATAAATAATTAATGTGTATATATATTTATAAAATAATTAAATATGTTTTAGGAAAATAATTTATCTTTCCAAAAAAAATATTATTATTTCTTAAAGATTTGAAAGATGAAATCCCGTAATTTTTTTTTCACAAAATTAAATAACCACACAAAAAAAATTTCATATTAATTGTTTTAATAATAACAGTTGCAACGAAATATATTTGTCCAAATAGTTTTTTTTTAACAACACATTACATTATTTGAAAAGAAAAAAAGAAATAAAAAGATCATGACTATTCTTGTATATAGTGAACAATTTGATCTTTTATGGAGTCATGAAGCCGGGCCATGTGAGATGAAGATTCTATTGATAAAGGTATATGTGAAGATCTAACTCCATCATCATCATTATTTTTTTCCCAGCATTCAGGGAAGTTCTTTTCGGTTCACTCACCAAAATTTGTTAACTGACCAAAATGAACAACATTGTGATAAACAAACAAATAGACAAGGACCACCTCTTTATCATTTTAACAATCACTGGTCCGAAGAATGAGGAATTCAGCACGCATGCAATTTGAACATAAATCGGTAAAGGAATTTATGTTATCACAAGAAGAATAAAAAACAATATGTCAAAGCCATTTTTCCCACTGGGTTTTCTCATGCGGAATACAAAGAATTTCAGGTGAAATATCTCTTTCAAGCGAAAAACAAAAATATGAGAAGAAATTACAAAGATTTTGGTTAACCACTTAAACACTGAAAATAATTCCCCTGACCAATGGGATTTCAATCAGAATTGGTTTAACTGATTCATGCTCTGTCTCCTAAACCCGAAATTCATCAACAGATTTCCACGAAACCAAGCTGCAAGGAAATTTGAAAATGAAACAGAGATCCAGCCACAACCAGAATGAAGAAAATGAAACACATCTCCAGCCACAACCATCCACAACATTGATTTTTTCCATATTCATATACACACACACGACTGCTCTGTCTCGCATTCTAAAAAAAAAACACAACAGATCCTATCAGTCCAGCCACAACCAGCCACGGAGCAAGGACAAATTAAGAGACGCAATGCATAAATGAAGAAATGGATCTGAGCGACGGAACCCAACACCGTAACCTGAGCAAACGACCACTGGACGAAGTGAACAAGGAAGAAGAAAGAAATGGGTGCTGGATGGATCAGGCAACCTGGGGCG